CTCTCTCCCTCTCTCCCTCTCTCCCTCTCTCCCTCTCTCCCTCTCTCCCGAAGAGTTGCCTGGTGGGTCCTTCCACTTTTATTGAAGATTTTAGAAGGATATTGGATTGCACTATTGCAGAGCCTTTGTTATGTCTGTTTTTCTTTGACATTCACTAAGTTTAAATTAGTAGATCTAATTAAGAGCTTTATGTCCATTGCTATTATGGCATTAAGACCATAATACTCTAATTGAGCATCACTTACTCTTCCATTGCAAACTTCGTTTATTTTTCAGGTATACAAAAATCATCAGTTTGGACTCTTATTAGTCTGCATTTTGATAGATCCCTTCAGAAGCAAATATTTAGTGCAAAGTTGCACATTACAGCTTCCTGCTAATCTTAAAACAGTATTGCACCATTTAGACTTTGTTTTGGAAGAAAAATTAAAGACATGTATCTGTTAGCACCAATATGGCCACTATTTTATTGAAATAGGCCTCTTGGTAAAAGAAACCTGAGCACAGTCTTGGTTGAAACTTGCCCTTTTTTACCATCTACAAAACAGGGAACAATGAGAGTGAGTTTTTCTGTAGATCTATCTTTCCAATACGAGTTGGAAGAATTAAAATAGCTTGAACAATAATGCAGCACAATTCCAGAATGATCTAGTGAAATGCTTTTCCAGTATAGCTGGAGGGATTTTTATCTTTTCTGAAGATCATTTTAAGTTTGTGCAATGGGCTTGCATATCCTTTTTAGGGAAGAAAAATGGTATAAGATATAGTGTAAGCTATAGTGTTAGCTATGATTTCTAATGTTATGTTGTATCCCTGCAGCTTACTTAAAAAAAAAAAAAAAAAAAAAAAAAAAAGAGAGAGAGAGAATTTGATTAGTAATATTGCTTTATTTTTTATCCCTTTTCTTTTTAAAGCATTTTTTTTTCTACTTGGCAACAGTGTCTGGAAATCTTGCTTATTGAGGAAAACTTATCTCAATCTTATGCTCCCTCTTCAGGGTGGAGTTCACGGTAGGGGACAAACCCATTAATAACTTCCGCATGATCGAGAGGCATTATTTCCGGGATCAGCTGCTGAAGAGTTTTGATTTTGAGTTTGGGTTCTGCATCCCCAGCAGTAAAAATACGTGCGAGCACATCTATGAATTCCCACAGCTCTCCGAGGACCTCAGTAAGCTCTTTTCAGTTATTGGGTGACCAAATTGTGATGTTAGTCTAAGTTGTTTTGGAGAGGCCTTATCCAATGAGTTATCTAGAGAAAATAGGTATGGAAAAATACATCCTAGTGCTTTTGCATCTGTGTTCAGTACAGCTTTTGTTTTCTAGTACTGTGAAAAAAAAAGTGCTATAAAATAAATTGAAAAAGAAAACAGCACTGGAAAGATGTCCTATTAAAGAGGTAACTTAAGCCTTATGTTCTACTTCCATGTGCGATGTGCTACGTGGATAGCTTGAGAGGTTTCAGGTTTAGTGTGAACGTACCTTCTCTTTTCTCTCCCCTCTCCCAAGGTGTGACAGCATCAGTGCTACACCTGTGTGCCCTTCATCATGTATCTCTGTGCTAATATTACAGATAATATGTAAAATACAGTGATGTGTTTTGCGCTCTTGTTTTGCGTCAGCCTTCTATTACCTTAAAACTAATTCAATATTGTTTGGAGCTAGCACGCTTACTGTTTGTGTGGGGCCTTAACATATTATTTGGATTCTGTTTGTGTTCTTTAAATGGTACTTTAAAAAAAAAAAAAGGTTTGGGTAGGCTTCTGTTTTCTTTTTGTTTTATTTTAGAGTTTGTTGCTATCTGAGCAATGCTGTTTAACACGGCTGAGGCCCAGTCTGCAAGAATAGTCAGCACTGAGTGTGGCTACAGTCTGGCTAGTGCACAACATGACTAATTTGTTTTTCATCTGCAGTTCGAGAGATGATCCTTCATCCGTATGAGACACAGTCGGACAGTTTCTACTTTGTGGACAACAAGCTGGTGATGCACAACAAGGCAGATTATTCCTACAGTGGAGGACCTTGAGCATAGGATGGACAACCAGCGTACGTTGGCCCTCCCTTTCCTATAGAAGTTGTCAGGGATAACAACACCTTCAGTTCAGTTGTCTGCAACGTCAACTGAACAAGGATCTACAAACCAAGGACTCTTTGCCACAGTAGGAGTTTCATGACTTAATTGGCCAGTCTCCTCTTTGGGCTTTGAAGCAGACCCAGTTCTCCAGAAGTTTAAGCAGTTCTACGACACTAAATGATCTTTGGATACCACTGTCCGAAGTTCTTTAAGTGTCTGCTTTGGAAATGGCCTTGTGGGACTTGGGGAATTTTGCCCTAATTCTGTGGATTTGTGTTCCTGTCCTGAGGTATCTTTTAGGACATGGTGGCTTTCTGAGAGACTGTGTGAGTGGATGGATGCAGATGTAGAGTTGTGTCTCTCTGTTTCTATCTGTGGATGCTTCAGAGGCATGGTCAGTTTAACTTTTACATTCAGTTAAAAATGTTCAGTGTAACACCTTACAAAAGCAAAAGTTTCATCCTTAGATTATTTCTCTAAATAAGTATCAGGTCCTTTTTTTTTTTTCCTTTTCTTTTTAATCTATTCTTTTTAATCTTGGAAACAGTGGAACTTGCAGTGAAGATGAGTAGTTCAATGATAGGCCTGTTTATAGTCAGGCACTGTCTGTTGAGAGTCTACAAACTGTTATAAGCGTTCTCAAATTATTTAAGTTTTCGCAATTAGAATGCAGAATAATCAGGAAAAAATGAAGACTTTTATGTTAGGCTGACATTATTACATAGTTAACATTCAGCCTATTCATGGTTGGGTTTTCTATGTCTTTTCTTTTTTTTTCTTTTTCTTTCTTTTTTTTTTTTCCTCTGCTCAATACTAGGACAAGGGCTGCAGCATTGCCTGTTATTGCTTGTTAGAGCAACTCTTTCATTCGTGTAAGGCAACTAGTCTGTGGAATTTCCAATTTTGTGTTTGTATCTGAATTGGAAGAATGTTTGGATAGTGTTTTCCCCCTTAAAAAAAAGTTTTTCATTTGATATTAATACTTATTAATCTGAATAGTATGATAATGCAAGACTTGAAGGCACAACACAGATTTATCAGTAGCTCTTATCTCTGTAAGAAGAACCTTTTTGCCTAAGTTTCTGAGAATTGCTTCTTCTTAGAAGAGTTTAAGTGCATAGTAGCAACATTAAAAGAATTAATTAGTTTAGGTAAAACCAAGTAAAACAAAGAGCTGAGAAGGTTGTTTGAAAGTAAAACCTTTCATCTTTTATTTTGTCTGAGTAGCAAGTAGCCTGTTGTCATGAAGCCCTTACTCTAGAGATCAGTTCACTGGTACTCTAATAATTGGCAGTTGCAGTTTGTAGATATTTCTATAAATACTTGATGTCTCCATGTCTAATTCTGTGAGTTTCAGTGGAACATTATGTGTTATCCTCAGATAGGTGTGTGATTGTAGCATTTTTTATAAAATACCATTTCCAGTTGTGATTAACATCTTCCAGTAACAGCCTAAGTCCAACAGGAAAACTACAAATGGTTCTACATGTAGCCTGTCTAATGATCTATCCAAGAGCAGGGAGGTCTTGTGCTATTATTGGGGTTGTGATTACTGTTAAATGTGTTACCATTTGTATTGGGCTTGGCCTGCTTTACTTCTGACAGTTGATTCAGTTTTTAGAAAATACAGCGAGTTTAAGGTACAGCACAGAATGTTTTATTAAGATCAGTAGCTAAGAAAGTATGTGGAGTTCACTGATTTTGCACAACTGGTATCTTGCAGTAATTATTATCATGTTGAATCATGTTGAGACTTATCACATTTTTTGTCTGTAGTGTATTAAACCATAAGATTAGCCTATGGTTGACTTACTTGTTTGAGGGTTACAGAGAATTTCCTCATTATTTTTATAATGCTTTGAGCTATTGTTCACAAAGTTTTGCAGCACAAGAGTTTCTAAAGGTGAAAATAGTCTACAAGAAGTCTACCCTCCTCCACGTTTTTGCATCCTGGCTTTTGAACTATCTTTATATTAAAAAAAAAAAAATCAGACTCAAGTATTTGTGTCTTTTGATCAACTCTTGAAGGATAAAATGTATTGATCTGAAGGCAGAAGAGGGTATGTATATTTATAAGTAGCACCCTATACCCTTTCCAGCTGGTATCTTTCAGATCTTATCTGTTGTTCATATTAATCATGTCTGTGCATAAGAGTTTTAAGGGACTTCCAGCAATACTGCTTGCCCAGAACTGCCAGTCATACATTTCAACCGGCTGTATCATCTCCAAATATTTCTGGAGAGTGATAATTAAACTTCTATGCAGACTCTTGTCAGTCTTAGGTTATCACATTGAGTATCCTCTCTATATGTGAATATTGTTTGCTGAAATTGTCAAGTTCTGCTCGTTTTTTATACTACCTCTTTTTAAGACTATAGATTTCAAAAACAAAACAAAACCCCCAGACCATAAAAATATATAACTATAATCAAACAAAACTTGAAAGGGAGATGTATCCCTACAAAAACTTAGAAGAACCTGGAGAAAATTACCTGTTTCCCAGAAGTGTAGTATGTTGCTGAATGGATTTTCTAACACTGCATTCTAAGGCAGGTTTGAGGTTAAGTATAAAAGCAAAGGAACTATCAACTATTGATCTTCATCATGAATTCTGCTAACTGTTCTAATAATTCAGATTCAATGAGTTACAATTTCAGGGTATTAGAAAATTTAGTAAAATATTTTACAGAGTGAATTTGTCTTCTATAATTAGGATTACTCTAAAGCAAGAAAATAAAGTTGGGCATTTTTAATAAAATAAACTTTGATTTTTTGGGGCTCTCAGGGTGAGAGATTTTGTTTTTTTAAAGACCATGCAATGTAAGGCACTGAGAAACTTCAACTTTCATTATCTGAAAGGGAGCAGAATGCTCCAAGTTGTAAAATTAGATTCACAGTTTCTCCTTAAATTGGCAGCTGATTCTTATTTTGAACCAGTTGAAAGTCAAATCTTAAGCAAACATTTGGTCTTGTTGGCTAGTTCTAATTTTGTGTTTTGAATATTAATCTGTACTGAGCTTACTTTGCAAGCTTACCTAGAAAATCACCAAATTCTGTCTCTATATAAATCTCTTTTTTTTTTGCTATTTTTCTTTGTTCTCTTTTTAAAAATATTTTAATCATCACTACAACAATAAAGCTGTTTTAATAAGTTCATCTGCAAATTTGGGATCTGACTTTCTAAAAGCAAAAGAAAACATCAAAAAGCTAAGTAAAATGATCTGCTAGCAATGACTAGGTGTTTCTCATCAGAAGACATAATTACGTGTACTTTACAAACTGAATAAATTTTGGAAAAGGAAGTCAAGTCTCTGCATGTACCCATATTGCCATACTGTAACTCAACATAAGAAATTCTTTTCCTTTCTCTGTCTGAAGTTCCTTTAGCCTTCAGGATTTGTGAAGAAAGGTAACAGGAAAATATTTGTGGTTAACAAATACTAACATGCTGCACGGTCTAATAATTCACAAACTTTAGGAGGAGAAATAGAATTTATTTTCCAAATTAACACACCAAGTTAGGTATGGTTTAAATTTAAGAAACTTTGATCTCAGATCAGTGACCAAAACCAAAAGCGTTTCTATGAATGTGTTCGTTATGTGGTGACACCTATGTAATTACAGAATAATCCACTCTCCCAGACTCAGGAGGATTTCTCTCTTTTTTAAAAAAGTATTTTTTTTGAAGTATTTTGAAAACGAGGTGCTGGGGTTTAGTTCTTGCTCATGATTTCTCTATATGTCTTCTTTTTTATGAACAGGTCAGTAAAATAGCTCTGTTTGCCTCCTCTGTCCTTCACTTGAGTTGTATCTCAGATACTTGTGTGGGAGTGTAAGAGGTGCAGCTAGTGGCTGTCTATGAATGAAACAGATTGTGAGCTGCCAAGTCCCTAATTTTGATGCAGAGAGACTATTAAAGTGCATTGAGAAATGCATGTTCACTAGTAAAACCTAGAATTCAATCTTTGTGACAAAATTAAAGGGAATGCTTCTTCAAGGATAGACTATTTTAGGGTTATTTAATAGACTGCTAATATCCAAATTTCATACATAATATGTATTATAAAACCAATCTGTTAACTATTCATAACCTCCAGGGGAAAAATACTGTTGACAGCTGAGTTTTAATTAAGTCTGTTTATGAATGAAATTGTAGATACAACTTTTATCCCTTACAAAAAGAAAAGCAGCTAGAACTATACTTGTATTGCACAAACGAGACAAGCCTATGTGCACAGAGCTCTATTTGCATGGTCCAAAGCTGATGGCATAGATTGACTCTAGTAATAGAAGTTACCTTGGGAAAAAAAGATGAGGGAAAGACTGAGAGTTAGCTTCAGCTGGTTGGAACCGAGATTTTTTAAGTTTTTTTTTTTTTTTTTTTTTCTGATGAATTTCAAAATCACCTGTAGCTTCTTAACAGTAGCAAAGTTTACACAAATGTTTAATACTACTCAGAAATTAAATCTAATTGACAGTTGGTAAAATTTTCTAAACATGGAAATATATTTCAAGAGTGTGATACTGCCAGGCCTCCAGGCAAGTGCAGCTCAGTTACTTTCTACATCACAGGATAGTCTGATTAAGTGGCTGAAAGTGTGTGTTTATGTATCTGTTCACAAGACTTTGTAAACTGCCTCCCAATAATCACTGTGTTGATGCCTACTGTGATGTCTGCTTTTATCTTAATGCTACACTGAGAATACCTGTTTGAATGTGACATTGACTTTTTTGCATAGAATCAGAATTGCCTGTATTAAAATGTATTTATAAAAAATATATTTTTTTGTGGAAGGAAAGTAGGGTTCTAGTTAATATACCATTGAGAAAAATGTTAGAAACATTTTTACCAAATTCATTTATAATTCTTTGTATCTTGTTAGTTACCTGACTTGTTTCCAGTAAGAACATCCACTGTGGCCAGTTCAGTGGCATTGCAATGCACTGTCCTGCAGAGAATCTAGTTTTGGGGAAACTAGGAAGTTATTTTATTACCTTTTGGGCCAGTAGGAAACTGAGTAGATTGCCAGGAGAACACAGATTGGCACTGATTCCACCTATGTGGCTTTGGCTTCAGTAGCTAGTCTGCTTGACTTGTTTCCAGATAGATAGGTAGGGAGATCAAAGACTGAGAAATTTAGAATGAAGAAAATTAGGTATGAGTCTTCCTGTAGGAGAAGGAGAGTACTAAAACTAATTAACACAAAGAATAAATAGGGAGTATACTTGCTGAATATGGTTTAACATTGGCAGTTCAATCATATATCTGCAGAGTAGGGAATATGCTTAGGTATTTTCATTACTTTGGGGGATGGTTAAAAAACATGTCACTTTCATGAGCAAGTGTTTCTTCTCCTGTAACAGATTGCAAAATGTAAAAAAAAAAAATGAATAAAAATAAAATAAATTATTGATACTAGAAATGGAGGTGATTGTCTATTTTATTTAACACTAAACATTTATATTAGCATATGGAAAACATTTACATATTTTTTATTTTAGATGTCTTCCATCAATATTTCAGCTCCAAATTTGTGCAAATTTGTATAATGCGCTTCACTTTTCTAGTGGTTATGAGCTAAACAACACATGTGCAGCAACCTCAGTGGTGACTGCATAGTAACATGAATAAAACAATTTTCATAAAAATGTTTGAAATGGGATTCAGACTTCCCATTAGTGAGTATCTTGGGCTTAATCAGAATAAATTATTCTCAAAGTACATTGCTAGAACCGAGGAGTGCTACAGATCAATTCTATATCTGGTT